CCCTGTTCTTCCTCTCTGTTTTCATGTATTTTTTACGGTCTTACCTTTCTACTACACCTTGTTCTAAATTTAACAGGCAACGTGAGAAAAAAATAAGTCACTTTCTGTTCTATCAGACCCACTCTGTTATTTTTTTCTTTTTTTTTTTATTTAATTTATTTGTATGGCTACCAACAAAATAGAATATTAAAATATAACCCAGCCATTTTAATATTGTTTGCCTCAAATTTCTAACTTTATCTCTTATTTTAAGAAACAAAACAAGATTTCCTAATAAGATAATGATGAAAATAGAAGAAGAAATGTTGTTTCTGAATACCTCTTAGGAAAATTCTAAGGTCCCGTTACGGGATGGTACCGCCAGTGTTTTATACCATTAGATACACATAAAGATTATCTTGTGTGGATAATCTACGGTAACCAACATTGACGGAACCATTCCGTCAACGAGACTGCAGTAGTTTCTTACTTTCATAAAATGTATATTTATTAGTGTTAGTTTCACTAAATTACTATTATTTTTCTTAAACGGAAAAGGGTATTCTCGGATAGTGCATATGAATTGTCCGAGTATTATTTCTTAAAGCGGAAAAGGGAAATATTATGGTTTCGTTACAGGATTATTCCGTCAGAGTTTGTAACCGTTTGCATCATCATATAACTATTATAGATAATTGATTTAACAATTACAAATCCCGACGAAATAGTTTCGGAACGGGACCGGTTGGTCCATTTCATTTTGGCGGCACCGCAAACAAAAGGGTCTATTCCTAATGTTTATCACAATTTTCCATTAAGTATCATAAAAAGAAAAAGGTCGAGGAAACATTTTTACACGTATAAGTTCTTCAATTTACCTGAACATCTGATTGGTGGAACAATTTATGTTTAGCCATACTGCAAATTATGATGATTTCCCAATAAGAATTTATCAACATATAATGAAGAAAAGGACAAGTCAATTTGGTTGATGGTGGGCAGCTTTTGTATTCAATCAATTGAGACAAAAATGTCTCAATTGTGATATCAATTTCTCATGCGAATCAAGCTTTGTTTGTGGCGGGCTAAGATTGGCCAGTTTTTAATGGTCTGGATTTGTTAAGTAGCCAATGGGAAGCCAGCACATACTTGAACTAAATCGTGCTGCAATTGGTCCATTATGATAACAACGTTTTACAATAATGAGGACGGGATGTGTAAGAGTTTTCTTTTGGAAAACTACTCGTGTAGTCATGTTTGAGGGTTAAATTTATGTGATGGTTCTTTGGGGTTAGGGGGAAGGGCTTTCGGAGGAGAGAGGGACTTGCAGCAGCTATGGGATGCATCTAGGAACTTCTATGGGAGTTCAGTGGAGGACTATACTGTGGGGGCTGTTTTTGACTTTGAAATATGCACTGAAGAACAACTGGAAAAAAAGTGATCTGTTTCATGGACAACAAAGTTGTGAAATGGTGTTGTGATCATTCTGGGAGTGCAACCGAGAAGGTGACTCTGCTGGGAATTTGTCTCTTGCTTGTATGGCTTTTGAATCTTGGTGCTTTTACTTTGATGTTGTTTGTGTAATATCTGTTTCTTTAGCCAATATGGCTATTTAGGGGATTTGTAATGGGTATTTCCTGATTCTGCAAGGACTATGTTGTATTAGTTTGAGTAGTCGTTGTGCCTTATTAGGCCTCGATTGTAAGACTATTGATTTGAGTTATATAAATTTTCTAGTTTGCCTTGGAAAAAAAAGATGGTTAAATATTTCTTTAATAAATATGTATACATTTAAAATAAAATATTATACTCTAAATTGATAATATAAATATAAATGTGACAGTTGATAATATAAGCATGCATTTTTGTTAAAAAAAAGTATGACGAGCCGATTCGCCTAATTATTATGGCGTCACACATAAATATTTGTGGTTATTTATTTATGTTTTGGTTACACAAACTATATGTGTGTGAGGTTGAGTTATAAATCTTTCATAATGTTTTGGTTACACAAACTATATGTGTGTGATGTTGTTTGTGAAATATCTGCTTTTTTAGCCAATATGGCTATTTAAGGGATTTGTAATGGGTATTTCCTGATACTGCAAGGACTGGTGTTGTATTAGTTTGAGTAGTAGTTGTGCCTTATTAGGCCTCGATTGTAAGACTATTGATTTGAGTTATATAAATTTTCTAGTTTGCCTTGGAAAAAAAAAAAGATGGTTAACTAATTCTTTAATAAATATGTATACATTTAAAATAAAATATTATACTCTAAATTGATAATATAAATATAAATGTGACAGTTGATAATATAAGCATGCATTTTTGTTAATAAAAAGTATGACGAGCCGACTTGCCTAATTATTATGGCGTCATACACAAATATTTGTTGTTATTTATTTATGTTTTGGTTACACAAACTATATGTGTGTGAGGTTGAGTTATAAATCTCTTATAAACATGTAATCTGTTATACTTTAATTATTTTAAGACGGTAGTCAGACAAATTAAATTAATCTTTTTTACTGATTAGCCTAACATGCCGACCTAGGACCCCTTTGAGCAGCTTACAGTTTAGGTTGGTTATTGAGACTTGTCAGCAAATAAATATTTCTCTAAGTTTATGTTAATGAAGGTAGAAAAATGAACACTTACTCGAGCAACCGCATTAGTCACATACCCAAATTGACCATTATGGCTAGACTGCCAATGCTTGGTCTCACCAGCAAGTAAGACCTTCATGCAGGATGCAACAGCCAACCTATCTTGGTCCAGCGTCAAGGTGTCAAGCATGTCGATCTCTATTTGGCTGACCTTGGGTTTTCGAGCTCCGACTGGCAATCCCCGAGCTCAACTGCTTTTGGCTAGAGGATTTTGGGGGAGGAGGAGTTGCAAGTGCCTTAGGCTTGGTGTTTTGCTTCATTGAGCCAAACTCAAGAGGTCCTTCAGATCGGCCCCTGTTGGGGGTTACCTGAGCCTTCCCATTACTACTAGAGGAGAACGAGGTTGACTTAATGGAATTGAAGATAGATTGTGCATGCAATAAACGATTAGTTAAGGTAAAAGAAAAAATAAAGAAGTACAGGTGAACAACTATTTGAGTTAACGATTAGTTAAGGTAAAAGAAAAAATAAAGAAATACAGGTGAACAACTATTTGAGTTGTTCGTACCAAAGTCAGTAGTAGGAGAAAAAATCCTATTGGTAAAACCATAGTGACCCAGAAGCTGCATATGCTCGGTCATCAGAATAGAATATACTGAAAACTCAATCCATGACTCGATTAATGCGCACTAGGTGGCATCGCATTATGGGGGTGCAAGCCAAAAAGTAGGTTGGTTAACCACTCAGAGGAGAAAGAAAAATGTGCAGTAGGTCGAATGCAGAAAAATCTGATTTTTCAGGATGAGATTTCAGTGGGAAGGTCCTTTAGGAAGTTAGCTTGATTACGAGTTGTTATGTACAATGTTCCTTCCTTTTAAAATGAGCGTCCTAACAGTATCTAAAAAATTAAAGGTCGAGGTGACCTAATCTAGAATAAGAAAGTAATACAAAGGCAATCAGTATTCTAGCAACATTAGAAGGAAGTTGGTTGATAGGAAGGTCGTATACATAACACATGGCTAACAACTCGGGACGAACTTAAAACTTAAGAACACTTTGATTATGGTCGCGTAAAATAGTATAGCAATTTGGAGGTTGGTCATAAGTATCTAACCATCAGGGGATAAGAAACCCCCTAGAGGTCGGTAACTCTCTTAAAATTTTGAAGTGTTCCAATCAATCGGGATCAACCTGAAGGAAAAAAATTAGGTTTTTGAGCTACTGAAACCAAATAAGGTGCAGAGGTAAAGAAGGATGAGGCATAGGTCGAGCAAGAGGAATGAAACTAGGACCTTGTGCAGGATGGAGAGGGGAATCAATGTCCTTCTCAGACTCGTCGACTAAATGAAGAGGTCGAGAAGATAAGGGAATATGCTGGGGAATAATTTCAAGAGAGGAACAAGAAGAAAGTGCGGCCAGGTGCCCATCAATAAGAGCATCAACATAGTCACTGGTCTTAGGAGAATCTGAAAGGAAAAAGAGAAAAAGAGGTGTTCCACCTTAAAAAGAGTGAATGCCACAAAAATAAATGTACAGTAATTTGAAAGAAGAAACTTAAAAAATCAACAATAGAGGTTGAGAACTTATGCACTGTCGTGGTCGAGTCGGTAAAATGATTAGCGACGAAGTGTTGACAGTGGTCTACGGCGAAATCATGACAAGGAAAATATTATGATTTTGTAGAGACTACTTAAGAAATTCCAGAATGGTATGGAAAAGAAAAATGATGGGGAGAATAGGTATTTATAGATAAAAAATGAGGAATTTGATAAGGTCTATTAACCTAAACCGTCCGATCAAGGTTAAAATGGACGAATGGGATTGCAGACCGAGTATATGGAGAGGTGGTTGTGCAAGATCGTTCGATGCATTTTGAAATGGATGGACGAGATTGAAGATTGAGTAGGTGAGGAGGTGGTCGAGAAGTACTGTTCAATATAAGTAGCATTGGATGAACGAGATTAAATAAGGAAGTTGAAGAGATGGGTGTAGGTCAAACTAAACAAGTGTGATTAAAATTAAGAGTTAAAGGGGTAGGTTGATCAGAACCGTCTGATAAAATTAAAAGGGATGGATGGGATCGAAGCATCACTAATGAACGCATCGTTTGGGAATGAGACAAGAGTCGAGGCAGTTACGTTGAAAGGGTGTCGGGTGATGTTGAAAGTATCACGTAATTTTGAATTTTGAAGTCAAAACTCTACCTAGGCCGAGTCTGTTCGTCCTGACTGGAGGAAGGGAAAATAGTTCGATTGATGCGGAAGTATGTTGTTAGTAAAATAATTGAAGATACTTGATTCTAATCTTAGGTCGAGTCATCCTAACTCAACCAGAGTGGAGGGGGTCAGATGATATGGTATATTATACCAACGACTGAGTCGTGTGCGGCCTATGAGTAGCTCGAGCGGTTTTATTAGGACGAGAAAGTTTGACTGAAGGTCGGACAACATGAAGAACCGAGGTCGAGAGAACACCAGGTCGATAAGGGCCTCCGAGACAAACCAATTCAACAACATTTCGATTTAGGACTCTAGGATAGTATGATGGAATCTCGATTTGGAAGTAAAGACGTCTATTAAAAACCTAAAAATTGGACTTACTCGGTGAAGACTAGAACGATAAAGTATAAAGAACACCAAGTTGATAATTCAATTATGCTTAGTGAGACTACCTAATGAGATAGACTAATGTGAACACACCAGATAATGGATAAGTACATATATAATTAATTAAGATATAAGTAAACAATGGGAAAGGACACGTGTGTAACAGAATTGTGTTGTTCGGGCACTGAGCAATGTGATCGGGTAGTTCGGGCACTCGGTCAGCAAGATCGAGCAGATATTAGGCAGCAAGGTAACATCTCTATATAATTAAGGGGTGAGGCGCATGATCATCATGTCTCTACATAATGTGAGCATTCTATACTTACATATATTGTATACATCTCCACCTTCAAATACTAACTTGAGCGTGAGAGCTTCTACTCCTGGACAACCCTAACGCTGTTTTGCAGGTCATTTCACCAGTTCGAAGACGGATCGAAGGACATCGGACCAGGTCGAGATCATTTGCACTACCAAATAAATATTTGTCGACCTATATAAAACGCATATCAAACCTCGGCGATGAAGTATCACATGGTTCAATCACGTAAAATGTCTCGAGAATTAATTTGCTTAATAATAGAAGTCAAAAACGACGATTGATTCTTAAAAATAACATGAAATGTCATGCCATCTAATACAATTTTAAGTTAGACGATCTAATAAGTCGTGATATTTGGGTTGTTGGGTATAGACCAGACTCGAACCGGCCCGTGGCCAACAGGGCTTGAACCAAGCTTGTGGTTTGACCGGGCCGATTCTTGGCCACATATTTGTAATTTTCTAAACCGTCGGGCCAGTTTTGAATCGGAACTAGAACCGATAGTTAGGCTTTTTTTTAATTATCTCTTAATTGAACCGGGTCGGTCCAGACACGATGGTTCACTGAACTGATGGTTTTTGGACGATTCAGTCAACCAGCTCGTGATATGTTCAGGCCGATTCAAAATCCTCCAAACCCAGGCCTGAAACCGACGATTTCGACCCGGAAAAGGAGTTTGGCCATGTCTAATCAGACACCGACGGTGATACTGATATCAGCAGTGGAAAGACAAAAAAACTATTTTTATCCCGTTGGGATGAAAGTGGCATCTTGACTTCTGCGAAATTCCTCCACGTAGAACAGTAATTACCATAATTTTTTTAAAAAAAAAGTGGAATTATTGGACGTTTTGGACATAAAGCAAATGGACCAGCAATATTTAATAATTATATATGGACGATGTGAGCACTACATATAAAATAAAATCCAAAAATTTTAAATTGATGTGGAGGAATAGATTTTTTTTATTATATTTTAATAACTATATGATAAATACAATGCCTGTTATTGGTCAACACTCACTCTGAAAAGTAGGAGCATTCGTTTATTTTTTATTTAAATAGCACTGCTAAAAGATTATTTACTTTGTAAGCTAATTTCAAGTTGATAGTTGTCACCTTGGTGCTTGATGGTTAAAAATTTAATAAGTTAGCTAAAACAAAAGTTAATGTACTTTTTTTTTTTTTGAAATGTTTACCTCAAGAAAAAACACATCCCATCAAACAAGACTTATTTAAATACGCCATTCTCCTAACTAATTGCTTGTTTGTTTTTTAACTATTTGACATTTTGACCAACTTAAAAGTTAAAAACAACTTAAATTATGTTTGGTAAGATAACTTTTCAGGGTAGCGGGTTGATATAAACTGCTAAGAATAAAAATGCTCCAATTTGAAGCGTTTTGTATTAAATGATTGGTGGATTGAGCTATTAGTAGAAATTTTCTCTATATATTATTTCAAAACGTGTTGAGCCTAAATGTGAGGCTGGCATGCTTCGTGATCTTATGTGACAAAATTACATATTTCGTTATTAGGCTTGAGCAGACTTTAATTTACTTCAAATCCAAATAGAATTAGGTCCGAATTAATTATGAATATGTTGATTATTTATAGTCATGTTACATGTATTAATTGCAATTTAATATTATTTCTTATTATAACCATTGAATTGTAAATGTATTTTAAAAGTTAATAACTTTTGTATTTTTTATCAGTTTTACATATATAATATATCAATTTAATCATCTTTTGATGAGTTTCGATTTAACATCCATAATGTATGTATAAAAAAATAAATTATATTTATCTTAATAACAATAATAAAATTATTTTTGAATATTAATTAGAAAAATAAAGTTATTTATCAATTAATATATTTATATTTCAAGTAATTATATGATATAAGTTATAAAAATTACAATAATATAACACATGTAAGTTGTACAACTGGCAAGTGTCATTCTAAAGTATATAATAATATATATTTTTTTTGTAAATAAAAATTTAAAATAATTTTCATAATTAATTTTTAATTTTAAGAATAATTATTTAACAAGCACTCGTGTAATACACGGGTGTTGTACTACTTGTTTATAATGATATATGATTACTCATATGATACTTCTAGAAGTGCAATCGTTGAAAAGAAAATAAAATTAAAAAAAAAAAACAATAAATTGATTGAGAAGTTGTACAGTCTTTTTAAAAAGTTTGGTGGACTAATTTATCCATTTTGAATTGATGTAAATTTGTTTGTTCGATTTTAAATATTTTAATATTTAAATAAAGTGACCTCTATATAAGTTAAATCTTTTGTGGAATATTTTTCCCCTTTAACAAAGTTTCTTGAGTAAAGTAATAAATAAGATGTGGGCTTAAAAAAAGCAGCCATT